GTGGGGTGTCTCCCGCCAGTTTGAATAAGTTAGACTGTAGTGACCCCTTCAGATCCATCTTTTTTTTTTTCCTTGCCTGCTCCCACCCCCATCCCCATGGAAGGGTAAAAGGCACATGTTGGCATACCTGGCTTGTAAGTGGGTACCGAGGATAGAACTCAGGTCTCAATGATTGCACAGCAATCACTTTACCCACTGAGCCATCTCCCTAGCCCCATACTTAGCAGACAAAACACTTCATTACTTAAAAAAAAAAATACGTAGAAGGGCTGGAGAGAAGGCTTGGTAGTTAATAGTGCTTGCTGCTCTTGCAGATGCCAGTTCACTTCTCAGCACTCAATGTGGGAATCTCACAGCCACGTGTAATTCCAGTTTTCTTCTGACTTCTGTGGGCATCTACATTCATGTGCATGTGCACACATAGAGACACATATACATATGCATAAACAATAGAGTACTTATAACTAAACAGTGAATGGCTACAGAATTGAACCAGGATGAAGCGCACACATGGTCCAGGCAATCACAGTCCGTGTTCTCACCAAGGCCCATCAGTGAATAGAGCATGAAGAAGAAAACAGCTCACTGCCTCTCAGGGTTGCACATCTACCGTTTTAGTACCTAGAATAAGGATTAAAGTTTTCTTATGGTTCTGAACTGTAGTTTAGTACTTAGGATGCATAGTTTATTTTTTTTCAGTCGTTTATAAGAAAGAGAAGCATACTTAGGCATTTTGGTGACAGAATTTTGAAACACAATTTTTCTACTTAACTACCCATTCAAGTACAATTTGTCTAGCAAAGTATGCAGGTACTGCCAAGTGAGCTATTTACAAATTGCTACTACATTGGAGTAAATCAAAATTTTCTGTGCAATTTAAATCAAATGAGCATTTCTGACATGTCTGTAAATGTTGTTCATGATGTCCGATGTCTACTTTACATTTATATAGCAGACATAGTCTTCTCAGTAGCTAGGCTGTATGAAAGTTTTTTTTTTAATGAAAATCACAGTCAAAATGTGGACACTTTGCTCCACTTCCACTGTGGTCATCTGTCTAAGGAGGCCACGCTAATGAGGATTATTTCAGAACCCAGGTTCTCTTGACCTTTCTTCCATCTTTCCAGTTATTACATCCCTATAACCTGTCCTGGATGCCTGGATCAAGGTACTCTCCACTCTCAGATGTCCTCTGCTCCCATTAGCATGACAGAAATAGCTTGTGTAATGATACACGAGGTCCTGTGCAGACAGGTGCTTCATCCCTTCGCAGACATCCTGGTAGACCAGATACCTGCGCATAAGCAAGGCCCTTGGCATCACTGCTTCTTCACCCTACTGTGCTCTCTGTCCCCTCACCTCCAGAAGATCTTGGATCTGCCATTCTTTTGTGTTTCAGTATCCTCCGTATTCAGAGCTCTCCCTCCCTCCTATTTCTTGGGGTTCTCTGTTTTGACTTTGGGCTTATCACTATATGAAATAGCTCTGGCACAAAGCACTCAATCATGTGAAGTCCATCATCTCTCTCTGGGGCACAAGCCCTGGGTAAGCAGAGGGCTTGGTTCTGTTCACTCTTGCATTGCTAATGTGATGCCTGGCATAAAAGAGCGATTTGTACATTTGTTGAGTGAATGTAATTTTCAATCCATTTAAAAATTCTTATCTATAAAATACCATGTCCTCCTATCATGAGCTCCCTTTTCCCCCTCACAAAAAAGCTAATAATAATAGATACTTGAAATTATTTTTAATACGTTCAATGAAGAAAATTTAACACTTCCAAACTAAGATGCATAAAATAGCTTCCATCGGACAGCTATTGATTCCTTATCATTTGGAACATATTATACTGCAACAATTACATGGACAGCACCAATCCCAATTTACACGTTCATCTTTTTGAAAAAGAGCCTCTACTCATTAAACCCCACATGTAAACTATAATGACAGTCTATCAAAGGGAACACTGTGTTAAAGAACAGTTTCACTTATGGGTGTTTCTGAAGTTGAAAAGACCAACATAAGGACCTGCTAATTGAAAAATTTCCTATGACCATTATGAACTCTTTACCCAGTGCTCTCTGCTCTCAGATGCCAGCTTTTGTCTCTGGTATCTTTGTACACAGGCTTTTCTCTTATCAGTTACCTTTTTAAGTTCACAATTTTTGCTGCCTTTTCAAATCATACATGTACAAACTCATCAAATCACTTACATTTATGGCAACCTCTAGCAAGCAATGATCAAAAGGAACTTAATATGACCCAAGTTGGTAAAGTACAACCTGTGCCCCAGACAGATTGCTTTCCTTCTATCAGTTAGTGCCCACCAATCCTTGGCAATCTCCATCTACATTCCACACCATTTCCTATGTCCAGTGTCTTAGAATTGTTGTGGATGCCAATGGGGTATTAGAAATTGAATCTTTATGCGGGACTAATCAGAATACGTTTTGCAATTAAAAAATAACTGCTTCCCCAAGATTTCAATCTCTAATGATTTGGGTTCATGATTTCTTTATCTTAATGTCATTAACACATTAACAGAAAAATATGATGTGATAATTGACATATTTACTCCCACAGCTTATAGAATGAAAATAATATATAACTGGCAGGCACGATATCAGAGTCAGAGTTTATTGCCACAGATTTTTAAAGTAAGAATGCTGTAATCCATCTCTTTATGCAATATATGCTATATCATAATAAGCATATTGATTTTATAGAGATGGAAATAAAAGTACTTTATAGGAACCATGGTGGCATTTTGACTTCCTGAAGCTCTACCCTGATGAAATCATTAGTGTGATGTTCAACAGAACAGCATACAGGTTCAAAATGAACTCAAATGGAAAATGCTTTGTTTAAGTCATTGATGTGAATAATATTTGGACACTTGGAAATTTGAACATGACAACCTTCTACGTATTCTGCAACTATATAAGAAGCCAGGATTTTAATGAAAGTATAAACTATTTCTGAATCCCAAGATTCTAATCAAATGACAAGAGACTAGGGTTCAATAAAATACAAAGGCACCAAACTCTGCTAGTCCATATGAGCATACACTGAAAAAAATACAAACACGTGCATGCACACACACACACAAAACAAGCAAGAACCCACCTATTTCAATAGTACTCTATCGATAGATGACAAATGGAATTACATTTCACACCTTGATTACCTTTCTTTCATCACATCTCACAGCTTCTATTCATGGGAGCACACTTTATTCATATTTATTGATCTTAAGACTTTAACCATCACAGCTTTTGTAACTCCTACTACCTTCTTTAGTAAAAATTGTTCATCGATGGGAATCCTAGTGTTCTGTAACACAAAGCTGAATTCTGCAGTCACGTCATTAGCCCCATGCTGTTCTATTAAAAGCTAGGCAAGTAGAATTCTAGATCCTGTGAGTATCCCTTTTCCACAAATCTGTTACGCAAAGGATTTGCTCGGGGTGGGAGAGCCCTAGGTCACCAACATCTCTAGCTGTACTCTACAGAGCATCTATGCAGTCAAATCACAGCATGTACTGGTCACAAAGGGTCCTATAAAGAAGTTGTCACAAATGCCTAGGTACCATAGCAGTCACCCACAATTTATTCTTTGCCGAAAATAGGCAAATCTTCCCAATTCAATTCATCTGAAGGTTCATGGAAAGGAAAGTGATTTTAAGTGATTTTTTTTTATTCTTCATTTATTCTTGGCAGGCCACACACACATGTGGAGGTCAAAGGACAACTTTCAGAAGTAGATCTCTCCTTCCACCATTTCCATCCTGGAGATCCAATTCAGGTCTCTAGGCTTGGTTGCAAGAACCTTTAACTGCTGAGTCATTTCAATGGCCCAGGAAACAAATCTGGCAATTTAGTTTCTGGGCTGTTCCCACTATACTTCCTTTTGCTTTTCAAATGACAGAAAAAGTCTGGCTACTTGCTTGAAGTTTATACTGTTGATTTAGTAAGCTGCCTGGGTTTCCTTAAACAATAGGAGTTACTGGTTGCAGAGGTGGGGTGGGGTGGGGTGGGGAGCAGGGGCTGGGGATGGTAACTTTGTCTCAGCATTGTCTAGCAGTGTTGCACCATAGTGCAAAGCTCTCATAGATTTCTCAGCATCCCTGTTAGCATACCTCAGTACCATAAAGGACTTTCAGACAACACAGTATACACCAAGCCCTGACTTGATTGACAGTTTTTTTTTTTTTTTCCAACTTGAACTTGATCATCTCAGAGACAAGAATCCTGCACAGAGAGAACAATGCTCACTCATAAATGCAAACTCCGGGGCACTTATCTAAAGCAGTGCAGCAAATGAACACAACTATAATGTAGTGCCTTCCAAAGCAAAGAGTATGGATTCAGTCGCCTTGCATTTTACATGTACACACAAGCACACATCACAATTTACAAGAGGTGGACAGAAAGATTGTTGTCCGTGCCATCAACAGTGAGACTCCCATCACACTTATTGGAAAGTCACTCATAAGAATTGCTACTTGCAGAATAGGGCTAATAAATTCTCCCAAGTTTGTGGGCAGCTAGAACTTTTCCACTTTGTTGGACCAGCATGAACACTTTAAAACTCGCTGTGCTTATTAATGCCTTTCAGGGCTGAAGATTAGCATCTATTGCTATTCTTAGCTTTGAAAATGTACTTTGTGAAGGACCAATGGGCACAGCCTCCTTTGTTCCTATCAATCATCCTCCTTCACCAAATGAAATCCTACTTAAATCAAATTGCAACCATTGAAATGACCAAGACGACACCACTCGAACAACTGAGTTCTTAGATTTTACACTCCACTCAATTCTTCCATCTTGAACACGCACTTAGAAACGTAATCAGAGCACAGGCTTCCCCAAAGCAGTTCTTGGGCAAAACCTTACTCTCCTTCAGAAAACCTGTCCTCTTTTCCTGCTATTGACTGATTTCACCACAAGAGTAAAAGGCGCGATACACTGAGATGAGAAGGGCCGGAGGCCTGCACTTACGTTATTCATATATTCGCTTAGCAGGTCCTGGAGTGCCTGGCGCACCGCATTGCACTCGGCCACAATACGCTCACGACGGTCATCACGCGTGCAGGACGAGTCTGCCATGAGGGCCGCTCCACTGATGATGCTCTCCAGTCTTTCTTCCAGTGAGGGCCGGAACCTGGCCTCGCTGAACGTCATGGGGTCCAGGATGATCTTATTCTGAAGGGATCAGAAGAAAAAAGTGAACAGGAGAGAGACAGTTGCCTCAGACACTTTTGTGCATGATATTATCTGAAGCTAAGACAAGACAGCCCTCCCTGGAAGCAAAACCAAGATACTGAGGCGGATTCTGAAACTTTTTTTTTCCCCCTAAATGTAATCTACAGATTGAGAACAGCAAGTCTTATTTGAAGAATGTGTTCTTGGTTAAGGCCATGTGTGGGGAGGCATTTTGAAATGAGATACTGACACTGGCTTCGTGGCCTTCAAGGAAAGCACAATGTAACAAGCGAAGGAAATAGGAAGATTTGAGAGCTAAGACATGATTTGTAATCAAATTATATTTTAGGCATATACAGAACATCCCCCAGAGGAACAGCAGAGTCGCAGCTGTCCTTGAATCCCCAAGCAAAAGGCATCCGAAAAGTTAATTTCCTACTAGGAATTAACACCTTTTATATTAAATCAAGGTTTGACAAAATATGACCTGGAATGTATGCACCTTTGTGAGTTCCTTTGCAAATATTAGTTTTTCTATCAGACAATCTCCTTCCAATTCACTTTCTCTGTTTCATGCTTATAGTTTAAGATGTGAGGTCTCAGCTGACTGCTCCACTCCCCATGCCTACTTGTTGCCATATTTTTTGCCATGATAGAATCAACCCTCTTGAACCATAGCTGAAATCAGCTCTTTCTTCTATAACTTACCTTGGTTATGATGTTTTATCAGAGAAATAGTAAAATAACTAATATATTAATCATCAAAGAAGGTTCTGTTTGCAGAGGATGGAGGTTAATATGAAGACCTATAATTGTTCAAAGGGCAGTTTTATGTGTAGGGTTCAGCCCCCAAATAGGATATTTATATCATATCTACATCACACGCACACGCACACACACACACACACACACACACACACACGGAGGCATGAAGGGAGGGAGGGAGGGAGGGAGAGAGAGAGAGAGAGAGAGAGAGAGAGAGAGAGAGAGAGAGAAAGCAGAGTTCTCAGGGAACATCACCGAAGAGACAACAGACACATTCTCACAGTCAGAGAACAGAGCAGACTGCTGACATGTAGTGTCTGCTGGACATGATAAGGCACGTGCATTCTTGAACTCACAGCAGCTTTGGCTGCCTGGACAAGATTTGCAAAAGACCCAGCTACCCAACATTCTAGTATGGATAGGCAATGGGCTCATGGGGGGCTCCCATGCATAGCTGAGGAGGTATTGGCAGCTGATGATGTCTAGATGAAGGAAAGTCAGTTATTTTTAGAGTTGTAGATCTGGTTGGTTTTCTAGGCTCAAGTGGATGGTCCTTTTAAGTTCATATGCACAGAACTATTGAGATCAGTGGGTTATAAAAATTTTTAAAAGTGGTGGATGAACAAGAAGTGGAGAAGAAGCTGAGGAGAGTCGTGTGGGAAGAAAGGGTTCAGAAGACGAGGAAGAGCAAGGGGGAGACACAATCAATGTACATTATATACATACATGGAATTCTTAAAGATTAAATGAATTCAAAACATGAAAATTTTAACAGTAGAGGGATATCTGCTTTCAAGAATCTTAAGGCCTTGAATGGTCAATAAAGACGGGCTCTCAGAGAGGAAGAGGGCAGGCCAGATTTCAAATCCACATGAATCCTGGATTTTCCAGATAATCGCTGTTGATCAAAGTTCTTCTTTCTTAATGCCTGAAGTCTGTAAATGGGAGACAGACACTGCTTTTGGCAAAGTGGTCTTCATATCTATATTTTCTTCTAGTTTATGAAAGTTATAGGAAAGAAATGTTTACAATTACCACGTGTGCTCTTTGGGATCTGCCCACCGTGTCACACAAGCATTGGGTATCATGGTACAAATGGGGACAGAAGTCATGGGGAGGTCCTGGAAGAGCTTAGGGCTCATCGCAGTTCATCTTTACAAAAGAAAGCTTCAGAAGGAACCTGACAGTGGAAACAGGTGTCTCTGCTCTGCCTTGCCATGTGTCTCTGTACTGGTGCTGTGTCCACAGTCAAACCCGCCTCTCTCTCCATTATTCTCCCCTCTCTTCTCCTCCACTCCTGCTCCCCTGCCCTTCTTCTCTATGACTTTCTGTCGTAGAATAAATATGTAATTAGGAAGCAAAAGACCCTGACATTACACTTAAAGGAATACCTGGTCAAAACAGAATTAATCCTCTACCTTCTTTATAAAGATTAGTGACTGATTTACAAAGACCTACTTTATAAAAACTTATATTAACACACACTACTATAGAATTATTTGTTCTTGGCCTAGGGCAGATTTTTTATCTTTCCTTTCCACTAAAAATCTCAAGAAGTGTCAGTTTTATGGAAATTTGCTGAGGCAAATCTTGAACTTCTCGAAAAGCTGTCAAGTAGTTTCTCCTTAGCACAAGGAGAGTGTTGTGCTCCATTTGAACACTGACTCCTAGAGTATTTCCTAGGGGACACTTACCTCAGAGACACAATCTACCAATGCAAAAATAAGGTGATGTGGCCAGGAGTGTTTTGAAAATACTGCCTGGCTCACAGAAAATTATCTGTAATGCTCTGAAGAGTCCTGCGTTATCAGAGCCTGTTCAATGCAATATTTTCAGAACCTACTTGAGCACAGAGAAAGCACCCTTTAAAACATGTACAGAGGAGCTGAAGAGATGGCTCAACTGCTAAGAGTGCATACTACTCTCAGAGATGATCAGATTTTGGTTCCTACCCCCCTCCCCCATCAAGGCCTCTCAATACCATCTGTATCTCCAGTTCCAGAGGATCTGACACCTCTGGCCTCCATGGGCACCCACACTCATGTACACAGACCTAGACACAGAAACATAGTCCAAAATAAGACAAATCTCTTTTATATAACCACATAATAATTTCTGAGAACCTAAAGGAAACAGCTGGGTAACACAGGAAGGGAGACTTTACACTGTGAGCTGATTAAGTGCCCTAGCTCTCTGAGCTCAAGGCTGTCATGAGAGTGACGCTAAAGAACACTGAACCTGACAAACTCTGCATAAAAGTTACACCATCCATTACTTTACTAATGGAATTATTCATTATTTATAGATCACAAGGGGAAGCTTTGGAAAAAATCTCCATGGAAAAGAAACAATAAATTTACAACCTTCGAATCTATACACAAGGTGCCGATGGGAATCATTGAAGTTATGGATGAGAATGGCTGACGGGTAAAGCCACTCAGGAGAGAAAGGCATAAGGGCATAAAGCACTTTGTGTGTGTGTGTGTGTGTGTGTGTGTGTGTGTGTGACTTTGAATATAAGCATGTGTGTGTATGTGTGTTCATGTGTGTATGGGATGGGGTTCTACTCACATCTCTGAGTTTCTGAGGCTGGACATTGTTTGGATGTATAGATACGGAATGGGGTAAAGACTGTGTGAGAGTAGGAACATGCATATACAAGTAGAAGGTGCTCTCCTTGTGTGAATGTGCTCAGAAGTACATACAGGGTAGCCAATGCATTTTTCTCTCTCTCTCCCTCCTTCCCTCCTTTCCTCCCACTCTCAGTGTGTATATACATCTACTATTTTGTTTTTGGTGAGTAAGTACAGGTTTCATAAACTAGTAGAGATAGCTGTGTATGTGTTTAAATTCAGACAACTGAAAAAAAATCTTACCCAGGATCTAGAATGTGGGAAAAATAACAACTAAGATACAAAAACAAAAATGGAACTAAATGAGTTTACAGGCTCAGAAGCTTAAGGATAAAAATCTTTGTACATTTCCAAAACTAATAAATAAACAAAAAAATCCACTGGATCTGAGTTATGAATGAGAATTCCCAGAGAATGAAAGAAGATAGACATACAAAACATTATTGGAAGAGACACAGAAAGGGAGGAAAATAGGGAGGGAGGATTTAAGTAAGCTAATTTTCCTAAAACAATCCCCATCCCTTATGATCAGCAAAAATATCCTGAGAACTCTCTTCTACACTGCTGCTCAGTCACTTCCACTGTTCTGTAAAACTGTCCTCCCCTACAGGGAGGATCTGATTTCTCCTCATCCTCCAGACTCTCCCACTGTCCTCCAGGATTCTGTTTTCTTTCCTTCCTCCTAGGCCAAATGGGCAAAATGCCACCGCCAAACAGTAACAGAGCCAGTCCAAGGCTGCTCTCTGTCCATTTAAAGCTAAGATGTGCTTCCATGAGAGGATTTTTATCTATTTCTCATTGTAATTTAAAAATCGTGTCTGCATTCTTTAAGTCCTTTCCCTGTTTGATTTTCTAGTGCTTTCTAGTATTTTCAGGTTTTTTGATATGAAACAACTGTGGGCTGTATCTCTTATTTTTTCTTTATAAATTCTTAAACTCAGTTTAATATCGTCCTATATTGCTTTTCTTTCATTCTGATTATTTGACTTGCATAGAATTTTTAATTAGTCTCTTCCATTTAAAAATTAGTGTTCTCAGCAGTGTGGTGGTGCATGCCCTGGATCCAAGAATTGGAAGGCAGAAGGAAGCAGCCTTTTCAGTTTTTCTTTTCTTACTGCCCTGGATAAGACTCTAGAGACCACTTGAAATAGAAATAGGAAAAATGGACACCAGTCTTCTTTCTGATGTTAATGGGAATGCTTTGAGATTTTCTCCATTAAGTGGGAAGTAATGAGAAATCCATAGGTGCTAGGGGAAGGAGAATCATTCGTCTGGACAGACACGGCTACTAGTAGACTCCCACAGTCCAGTAGATAGATCCATACTCATGCGTATGGTCAGCACTACATGGACTTAGTAGGTTACTTTAAAAAGGGAAATGCTTACAAGCCTTTCTGCATAACTGGGAATGGCAAAGAGTTTTGTCTTAGTAGTCAGGAAACTCCTTGTGCAAAATAAATAGGAAGAAAAATCTTTGCCTCATATTTAAGCTTTCTGAAATTCAGCTACTGGAGTCATGCAGAGAATAGTTGAGTCACCTCAAATATATAAAATTTATAAACTATCAAAAAAGATAATGAAAAAATATTTGTTAATATGATG